TGATGCAAGCAACAAGAGTGAGAGAACAAGTGGTGTGGGAGAAGGAGAGATGAGAGAGTAGTCTGTCTTCAAACTGGTCACCTGGGTTCCAGCTCCAGTTCCTGCTTGTCTTTACATCAGATCTGGGCAAACCTGAACTGCTCTGTATGATGAAGAGGTGAGGAGTTTGGAAGCTTTAGGAGAAAAGCTAGGAAAAGGAGATGTGAACTAGCCAGCTAGGTGCTGTGCAAAGGAAAGAAATGACAAAAAAATGATCTGCGATGGTGACATGGGTGAGACAAGGACTAGGGAGGAAAGAACTGCTTAAGTAGGCTTTCAAGTTGCTGTGGGATTGTGTGGTTTATTTGTTTTATCATTATCCAACATTTGTGTTTTAAAAAAAAATATGTTTTTGTTGACTTCAGAGAGAAAGGAAGAGGGAGATAGAAACATCAACTCATTGATTGGCTGCCTCTTTCATATCCCATATTGGGGATCGAGCCCTCAGCCTGGACATGTGTCCTTGATCATAATCAAACCCAGGACTCTTCAGTTCACAGGCTGTCACTCTATCCACTGAGCCAAACTGACTATGGCTATTTTTTATTATTGATTTTTTTTTTTTTGAGAGAGGAAGCGATAGAAACACCAGTGTGAGAGAGAAACATCAATCTGTTACCTCCCACACATGCCCAAACTAGGGATCAAACCCACAACCTAGGTATGTGCTCTGACTTGGAATTGAACCTGCAACCTTTTGGTGTATGGGATGATGCTCCAACCAACTGAATAACCTTGCCAGGGTGATGGGATGTGCAGATTTAGCATTCTCATTCATCACCATCACAATACCATTAGTAAATTCAGTGTCCACATTGATTTTTTTTAGGTATGGGCTCTTTAAAAAAAAAATATATATATATATATATTTTATTGATTTTTTTTACAGAGAGTAGGAGAGAGTGATAGAGAGCTAGAAACATCGATGAGAGAGAAACATCGACCAGCTGCCTCTTGCACACCCCCTACCAAGGATGTGCTCACAACCAATGGACATGCCCTTGACAGGAATTGAACCCGGGACCCTTCAGTCCACAGGCCGATGCTCTACCACTGAGCCAAACCGGTTTTGGCAAGGTATGGGCTCTTAATGGGGAAATGGAGCAGGCTGAGGGGACAGCTGACATCTACGGTAGGTTATATTCCATCTGTCCCCAATCAAGTTTTCTTAGGATCTCTGATTGGTTTTCAAGACTACTCTATATGTGTATGTTTGTTTATTTCAGTAGACATGTCTAATTGCACAATTATGTAAGTCATATGTCTATGGCAATGCACATATCACTGTATGGCAGTATTCATGTACGTGAATGCAAGATGTTTTAATTTATCTAGATGTGTAAACATGTCTGCATATTGTGCATATGAGTCTGGATGTGTAAGTTGTGTGCATGAGTGTGGATGCTCGTTCCAGGGTGTGGGGCTTGTGGCCCACTGTATTTTCCAGAAGTGGTTTCCAAGATACATCCTATCTCACATGTTCTTTGTACAATGATCCTAATATTTTATCGCAAGGTGGGTTCTGTTTTGTTCTCCCTAAATATGAACAAACTTTTGTGACTCCATCAACCAATAGAATATGACAGAATGATGCTATGTAACTTCTGAGATTAGGCCATAAAAATACCATGCATTTTTACATATTGTCTCTTGCGATGAACAGCTATCAGGTTGTGATGAGACCAAGCAGCTACTGGAAGAGGCTAATTGTCAGTGTCCTGGCTGCACCAGCTGAGATCCCTATCAACTGCCAGCACCAATTGCCAGCCATGCTACTGAGCATCTTAATTTAGTGGAGTCACCCCAGCTGACAGCACATGGAGCAGAGTCAATTCTTCCCAGCCAAGCCCTCTATCAGGCGTCTTCAAACTACGGCCCGCGGGCCACATGCGGCCCGCAGAGGAGTCTGATCTGGCCCGCCAGGTTTTTTGGGCAGTGAGCGCAGCTGAGGTGTTACAGTAGGAATTAGTAGTTCATATAGTCCGGCCCTCCAGCTCTCTGAGGGACCGTAATCTGGCCCCCACTTTAAAAAGTTTGAGGACCCCTGTAACAGAACTTTCTATGATGAATGATGGAAATGTTCTATAATACGAACCATCCAGTATGGTAGACATTAGTCATATGTGGCTATTGAGCACTTTACCTGTGGGTATTGTGACTAAAAAACTGAGTTTTAAATTTTATTTAATTTTAATTAACTTAAATAAAAACACTACATGTGGTTATTGACTACTGTATTGAATAGTACAGTTCTGAAGAATTCAGAGAGGAGTTTTTGTTTTATCTGTAAACAGGGATACAATCATCTACCTGGGCTGTCTGGAGCAAACAAGAGGATTAATGTGAAAGAGTTTTATTCACATAAGGGAGACAGCAATGTGAACTAGAGGGCTTATTCTTACAGTTCTTTGCTAATATTTCTGTTTTACGGCCCTTGCCGGGCTGTTTTGATTTGGTTTGTTTACATTTCTGTGTCCTTGTCAGACCCTGAACTCTTTGAGGGTAAGAACCTGGTGGGACTGTTTCACACCTGAATTCTCTCAGACACTGGCAGGCCCATGACTTGGTAGTTATGCTTGAGTGCACAAAATGTTTGGAGTCCAGAAGGGATTCCTGGCAGCAGGATTTATGTGGTGAAAGCTAGTGGGGAATAGAGGAGTAGGAGCAGAGAGAAGGCAAAACAATACAGTGGTGAGACAGAAAGCTAGGGATCCTACTCTCCACACTACATTCAAGGCCCATCTGGAGAGAGCAGGGAGCCAATTTGTGAGGCTGGGATATCAGGCTGGTGGGAGGTTAATTGAGAAAGGCTGATCATAGGAGAAATGATCTACTCAAAACATTTTGCTTGCTGAGGAAGGCCAGCTTTATCATATGCAGTGTTTCCCAACCTTCTCTCATGATGAGAATCACCTGGTGGAGTTGTTAAACCACAGATTCCTGAATCCCAACTAAGAAATGCTAAACTAGAATTTTTGAGAACATATAGGTAAAATTGCATACCTAACTTAGTGCTCTGTATATAAAATCTGTCTTAGAGCACTAGTTAAGTATACAATTTTACCTATATGTTCCCAAAAATTCTAGTTTAGCACTTCTTAGTTGGGATTCAGGAATCTGTGTTTTAACAACTCCACCAGGTGATTCTCATCATGAGAGAAGGTTGGGAAACACTGATATAAAGCTCCGCCTAGCCAGGTGATGTGATTTCCTTTGATCGATTGTGGTCAGGTTGTAGGTGATTCCTTAAGCTCTTTTGTCCTCCAAGCTTTTGCTTTCCTGGGGAGGGGAAGAAGAAATGTGGAAGATCTCTAACAGAACTGCAAGGTAGAAATGGTTGTTTGTTTCCTTATTTAAAAGGAAAATATAAACTTATTTCTGCTCAATTCCAAGAGTAATACAGGGAAATAAAGAGAAGAGACTATTGTGACTCTACCCACTCACCCACTATGGTCTCTAGAGTTCAAACTTCCCACCTTTACAGTGGTCCTCCTTGTTTGGGAGGTTTCAGCAGCTCAGGAAATGAGTTTAGAGCTAGTTTCCCTGGGAAGGTTCTCAATCAGGGCTTCCCAAGGTCTGTGCCTGGGGGACACAAAATTTCTCTTCCCCACACACTGGAGCTGGTTAGATCTATCCCAAGAAGGAAGCCAGGCTTATGAGTGCTGGCAGCTTTGTGTCAAGCTGGACTCTTTTCTTGGCTCATACATTTATTTATTCATCCCAAGATTTGAGCTTATTCTATTTTTAAGCATCTTGCAGCACTTTATAACTTTTATCAGGCTTGATTATAATTTACATGTTCATTCTGTAATTTATCACTGATGCAATAGATATTTGTTGAACTTTTATTATCTGTCCTCTGGTTCTGCTTTCTGGTATCCTGAATGTTCCATAGGAAAAGTGAGCTGTCCTCCGTCCTTTCCCACCCAGTCTCAGGGGCATGTCCTATCTGACCTTTCTAATAAACTGGCACTACTCATTGCCCAGGGGCTTGTTCTTCTCCCTCCTCAAGCTACTAATTAAGGTTTGTTCAGTGGCTGCAAAGTCAGTTTCCCAGCTGGTTGAAGTAAACATAATAAAGAAAACAAATGAACTGCTAGAATCTCACATAATACATAGGAAAGGGAAAGGAACTCCAGAGACAGGTTGTTTGGTTGCTCTTGGGGAATACCTGCTGTTTGGGAGGTCACTGCTTGTTTGGACGCTACTTTTCTCCACTCATGAATAGAATCATTCTCTGCACTCTGCAGGCCTGATGGAGCATCCCATTTTATTGGTCAAGGGAGGCACGGGGAAGGCCTCACAGAGTAGTATCATGAAAAGAGAACAGGGCTTTTGGAGGCAGTCAAACCTGGCTTGAATTTCTAGTTCTACCACTTCTGTCAGACCTTGTATAAATCATTTAACTGCTTTACACCTTTGCTTCCCTACCTATGAAAAGGGGATGACAATTATGATATTAGAAATGTACAGAAATAAGTATAATGTATATGCAAGCAGTTGGCACCTATAAAATAACAGTGCAGAGCAGATTAGAGGTGCAAGTAACTTTTATTTTTAAAATATTTGGTCGGTGTCTAAAATCCACACAGTACACAGATACATAAAGTAGGTGACTTGCAGGTGGCCTAATCTGCATGAATTTTCCAAAGGACTATTTATTGTTTGAATCTCTAGGCTTTATCCCAAACGAAGACACACCAGCTTGATTTATTTTTACTCCCCACACCCTCCTTTATGAGGATCCTTCCCCTAGAAAGAAATTAGGCTGTCGGGCAATCACAGAAGAAACTTCGAAGTTCCACTGGAAAACCAAGCCCAGGGGATTCTTTTCTAGTCCGCTCTCTTTCGGCGGAGGGATACAGGAGAAAAAAGTTCCAGCAAATTTGCGTAGGGAGACGCTAGGGGGGCGGAACTTAATAGAAAATCGGAAGCAGGCGGGGCTAATCATTCCAGTGCCGCCAGCTTCCGTGCGGGGACCGTCTGCTGCTCTGGAAGGCGGCAATTGGGTGAGGCGACGAGCCACGTAACCGCTGGGCGCTCACGGGTTCAGACTGTCGCCGTGGCGTCTGCGCATCCGAAGCTGGTTGCCGCTGCGGCCGCCTGGAATTGTGGGGGTTGTGTCTGCCCCTCGGCTGCCCGGCAGGAAGCCGAAGGTAGGGGCGGTGAGGGCCGGCTGGCCCCGCAGATGGGCGGGGGGCTCGGAGCGCTGCCCGGCCTCCCCCCGCCAATGGCCCCCGCGCCTTCCCAGCACTGTGCTGGGGCCCCCACACACCTTCCCTGGTGTCTTCGAAGCGGGACGTCCCAAGTGGGACCTGCGCTCCTCATTAATGTCCGCAGACCTGTTCTCTCAGCCCAACGGCCGCTTTCCCTACCTTCCCCACTCAGAATGCCTCTAGTAACCCTTCTTAAATGTCAGGAGCTAGGGCAGACTGGCTTTTTGGCTCCGCATCTGTTTTAGTCTCCCTCTCTGTTCTCGTCTCCTGGCCTCAATTTGTGCACCTGTCTCTAACCGCTCCAGTGTGGACACTGGTTCTCGGTCGAGACCGCTGTCATCACTTCACCATATGGAATTACACCGCCAGCCTCCCCCCCCCCCCCCCCCCCCCCCGTGGTATTTCTACTCCCGTTTTATGTTTCTCTTCATTCCGGTAGAGGAAGATATGCCTTTAAAGTAGGGGTTACAGACTTTGGTGTGTCTCAAATCACCTTGGAGATTGTGCCTATCCCTTGTCTCAATTTAGGTATTTTGCATAAAGTGGAGCTAGAACACCTGCAAAGCCCTCCCCAGGTGGTTCTGATTCAGGTGGTCCCGAAATCCTGGCTTTGAGATTCTTTGGTTCAGAAGATAGAATCCCGTTGATATATGAGCCCCTGTAATGTGGCTTCAGGTGGGAAAGAGGCTGGGGGGCGGGGGGTGGGGGCGGTTCCTTTGTACTGTAGAGCTGGAGGGCGGGTTGATACTTTTAAACATATATATATATTAAGGACGCATACAGTTTTTTAATAAATATTTTTCAGTGCCTGCCTTCAGTCAAGTCCAGCTGGCTTTCCGATCTCAATTAAACAAAACTACAAACTTCTTTGGGGTTTGGGGTATTCTATTAACCCAGACTAGGTGGGCAGTAGGAGACTGAATCTTCCATTGTCTGCTAACAGAAGAAACTGATGTGTTTATACACATTAATACTGTTTGTTTTGACAGTGCAAAAGATGTTTTATATCTGTGTCTTTTTAGTTCTCACCCCACTTTTTTTTTTTTTTTTAAATAAAAATATAGTCAGATTTGGGGATTGAATAGGATTTTGCTGGGATCTTTAGGGCATGAGGATATCAGGATTGATGTTTGTATAGCATGGATCAGGACTTGGTCTGTGATTTCAGTTGAGAACATGGCCTTTAGGTGTTACCACATCAGATTTATTTTAACCTTTCATCTGGTTGTATAATGAGTTTAATCTCCTAACACGTGTTGTTCTGATAAAATTGGCTACAGAAAAGATTGGCCTCATTTTACAGATGGTGGCAATAGGGATGATGAGATAACCCAGCAATGAAAAGTTGCCTTGTAGTCTGAATTCTGCTCCCCTACCGACACCCCACCCTCTTTCTGCTGTCTTTGAAGGCCAGCTATTACTTCTCTGTAGAGGCCAACTTTGAATTCTGATGTGTTTCATTGGCTCCAAGAAACTAAGTGAAACTGGAAAGTGACAGGATGGGCTTTAAAAAATAAACATGCCAGAATTTAATGCTTTGATAAGTGTTCTCCTGTAGAGTGGTATGTGAAGGTGTGGGTGGTGGAGGGTGGCATCACTTAATGTGATATGGTCATTGTCCAAAGCAGTTTTGAAAATTCACTTCTGAAGTTGTTTCCAGAGACATTAATAAGAGCATCATACTGCATTTAAAAAAAAATTGTTGTTACCTCAAATAGTCATGATTAAAAACTTTGTCACCTGATTTGTCTACAGATGACTTAATAGTTCCTTTGAAGTGGACATAACGCTTTTTTGGAGTGTGGTAAGCCTGAGTTGTGATTCTGAGTCTAATTCATCACTTATTAGCCATTCGACCTTGGACAAGTTATTTCACCTCTTAGGCTTGGTTTTCCACTGCATAAAAATGGGAATAATACTTTGAAGAGTGGTGGTGTGCCCTCCTAGGGGCACACCCACTTGAATCTACTTTTCAAGTGAATTTTCTTTCTCCTAAACTTTTAAAAAAATGGTTTTTATTGATTTCAGAGAGAGGAAGGGAGAGGGGGAGAGATAAATAGAGATAGAAACATCAGTAATGAAAGAGAATCATTGGCTGCCTCCTGCAAACCAGGAATGGAACTGTGACCTGTTTCATAGGCCAACACTTGACCACTCTTGGTGCACCCCTTTGTGGGCTCTGTGCACAGACTTTTTGTAGTTAACCCTTGATTGCTGTTGGTATCACCGGAAGGAATTGACTTGTAGGCCAATTGGTTGTGATGACCATCTGTGTCTACACTGGAAGATCTGTTGTACTGGAGACACCCTTATGGGGCCGGACTTGCTTCAGTGGGGCTTTGGTGCTCACTGAGTCTTCCCCTTGAGTGTGTCACTTATGGAAGTGAAAAGTTTTAATCTCGTATGGTCTTACTCTGACTACTGGATACACTGGCTCTTGGATCTCCAAGGAGGTGCAAGGTCAGCCACTGTCTGGGGCCACCCAGCAGGAGCTACAAAGACATCTGTAGATTCCTCCTCTTTGTATGGGGTTTGGAAGTGCCCAGACGAGGCACAGCTGTGAAGCAAGGCAGGCTGCTGCTGCCACCGGGCCTTGGACCTTCTTTTGGAAACTCTGGTGCTCTCTGACCCAACTGCAGTGTGACAGGTTTTAGGAGGAGAAAGGACAGGCCATTTATATGCAAAAGCACAGCTTGGGTGGGGTTGTAAATTGGGAGGAGCGGGGTCTCTGGGAATCACCAGGGCAGAGCAAAAAGCAATGGCTGCCAGTCAGCCCTGCACCAGATAGGTCCCCGTGTCTCTGTGTCCCGCACCCCTGTGCAGGAACAATGATTGCTGCGAGCACTTCTGAGAGAAAGCTGCCCTCACATTCTGGCCAGATGCCAGACAGTCCAGTTTCTCCTGGTATGTGTCTGGGTCCCCCAGAGTTTCACCCAGAACTGGAGTTCAGAGCAGTCAGGAGCTTGTATCTCCCTCCTGATGAAAAGAGCAGACATCTAGGTGCCAGCACATTCGCGCCTCCCCACCTTTTACCAGTCTCACTGCACTTTCTTTACTTCTCTAGTTGTGGAACTTCTACTCAGCCAGCTTTCTCAAGGTTCTGGGTGGTAATTGTTCTGCTTTCTTTAAAAAAATATATATATATTTTATTGATTTTTTTACAGAAAGGAAGAGATAGGGATAGAGAGCTAGAAACATTGATGAGAGAGAAAAACCGACCAACTGCCTCCTGCACACCCCCCACTGGGGATATGTCCCCAATCAAAGTACATGCCCTTAACTGGAATCGAACCTGGTACCCCCTAGTCTGCAGGCTGATGCTATATCCACTGAGCCAAACTGGTTTAGGTTGTTCTGCCTTTTAGTTGTAATTGTGATGTGGTTGCGAGAGGCAGCAAGTATAGGTGTTTGCCTATGCCACTATCTTGGTGCTCCCTTCTTTTTTTTTCTCTCTTTCCTAAACCCTTAAGAGTCTCCACAGAGACTTGCAACCAAAAGAGCAATGGGCATTGGCAGCTCATCCTGGGCTAAACCCCTGAACCTGGCCCCAAGGCTCCCTTTTCTCTGACGTCATTGAGCTAACAGTAGCCTCCCCTTGGCTTACTTCTTTCCGATAACATTTCTGGAGAGCCAAAGCAGCTCTGCCTAGGCTGCCTCCTGTTGCTTCTTCTATCTTAGGTCCTTTGTTATTTCAGTGTTCCCAGCTTTAATAAATGTACTCTCAGAAAACAAACACTTTGAAGAGTAGTTAAATGAAGTAATACACGTGAAAGCTTTTGGGAATAGGAATGTAATAACTATTTTCATCAAAGAATGAAGATTGGCTATTAATGAGAATATTAAAAAATGACAATCTGTAAAGGCAAGTTTTATCTTTTTCCAAATAGATGATGCCTTCCAATCCTCTTTTTACTGTTTGTGAATTCGTGCTCTTCTCATCTAGCCTCTTGTATGTATGTATTTTTTCTTATTTGCTATCCTTTCCTAACTGAAGCTATGCTGCAGAGGCTGTCTGCCAGTGTCTTGGAGTAAGCTGATTTTAGGAGAGCTGATCTGAACATTTTTACAGTGCAATCCCTGCGGATTTTTCTCTGGGGCCTCAGATGATACTTAGGTCATGGTCTGTAGCAAAGGGTTCTGTTTCCTGGATTTGGTGTTAATTTGGAGACCTGTCCTTGTGGAGGTAATCTTTTTCTTTCTTAGGGAGGATGAATACTTTATCTTCCTCTGAGTTGGTTTTAGTTTTCCATAGCATAGAGCTTCTTATTTTAATTATATGTGGCCTAAGGAAATATCTCTCCCTTTTCTTCATTTACTGGTAATATCACAAAGGGTTTTACTGCTGAATAGGGGAGAATACTAGTAGCCTGTTGCTGTTCAGGCTGGGCTTGAGGTAACCTCTGATTTCTAGCATCAACAACAATTAAGTTTGTCTTTGGGACAAAAACATCTAAAAGATTCAAGGTACTCAGGACACATGTGAAGAATCTCCCAGAATTTTCCTTGCTTGTTAAGGGTTTACACCTGGTATCCTCAATTGTGCAATTTTCTACCTTGGAGACAGAATTCAGTAGCAATAGATCTATGTTCAGTCCAATCTGATAGTTCTTTCAGGTTCCCTGAGGCAGCTCATTGACAAGGATAACGGTTGTGATGGCTGGTTATGTCTGCCCTCATTCATATTCATTCATTCTCTCCCTCTCTTGCTCTTTCTGCTTTTTGCTTTTATTAGCATCTGTTTTATGCTGAATTTATCCCTGGCCCATAAAAATTTTGTTTCTTCAGTTTCACCTGGCCCATAAAAATTTTGTTTCTTCAGTTTCACCTTTCTCTTCTGTGCAAATCCCTCTTCTGGATTAGGAACAATATGCTCTTTTTCAATAATTTCATTGTGTCAGGGAGAGCTCATTTATGGGTTTATCCATTCATGATCTCTGTAA